TAGGATCTGGGACTCTCGGATGCTGCAGGAGGGGGCGGGGCACTGCCCAATCTCAGACACACTGGTGGGAGAAACACAGGTAAGTGACCACAATCATCTGACACACTGCAAAAAATATAAATCTCAATAAGTTATTTTTTCTTAAAATAAGTGTGTTTTTTCTTGATTTGAGGAGGTAAGTAAGACACTTTGCCAATGGAACAAGACAATTTCCTTTTAAAATAAGAAAAAACTATTTTATCGTCTTATTTCAAGTAAATATTATCTAACTATCTTATTTTAAGAGTGAAAATACTCATTCCATTGGCAAATCATCTTATTTACCTGCTCAAATTAAGGCTAAATATACTTAATTTAAGCCATTTTTTACTTATTTCTGGATTGTTTTTGCAGTGCAGAAGATGATGATCTCAGTGAGTCACTTATCTGATTAAACAGTCCAGTCCATCTCCCTGGAAGGGGGCGCAATCCAGCCGCCGGACTGAAGACAGCAGCATGCGCCACTCAGAGTATCCCCGCTGCAGCAGTCCCAGGGGACTTGCAGGAAGCCGATCCTGAAAAGGGATTCAGAACAGGCAGGATCCAAGCTTCCAGGCATCCTAGGGCTTACAGGCAGGTAGAGAGTCCAAAAGAGTCTGGAAACGTGACCAGGCGGACATGCACAGGAGCAAACAGGGTCAGGTGCAGACAGGCAGGCTCAGCGGAAGCCTCTTTCCACTGGCCGCCGGGATTCAGGACATCAACCTCAGAAAAAACAAAACTGAACAGACTGAAAAGAAAACAACATCCAATGATCTCGCCAGGATAGCTAGAACTGAGCCCAGTATAAGGGAAACTGGCAGGTGGATGAGATGAATGATAATTAGGAGCTGGAAATAGTGAAGCAGCTGAAAGGCATGAGTAATTAGGGAGGTAATTAGGAGTTGAAGGATCTGAGGAGGGGGCTGGATTGAGGCCATCAATTTCTGTGAATGACTTTCATAACCGTATTCAGTCCACCTGAGTGAGCTCACGTTTATGAGAATTGCAAATTGACATAATTACTGCCCCAATATTGCCATAAAAGGCTGTGACTTCCAGCCCTTGTCAGTAGTGATGTTAGGCTAGAATCAGTGTGGGAGTTGATCTTGACTCCATCATCAACCTGAAAATGTCCTACAGGCTCATCTTTGATGATAGCAGCCCATACCAGTACCCCACCTCCACCTTGCTGGCGTCTGAGTCGATAAGGAACTTGCTGCCCTTTACTGATCCAGCCTGGTGCCCATTCATCTAGCCTATCAAGACTCACTCTCCTTTCAGGTGTGTGTCTTGTTCAAAGGTGGCCTTTTTCGGCTTTCCTTACCTTGGCCAGGTCCCTGAGTATTGAGCACCTTCTGCTTCTCAGCGCTCCAGACATGTTGCAGCTCTGAAATATGGCACAACTGGTGGCTAATGGCTTTCTGGCAGCCTCACGCTTGATCCTTCTCAATTCATGGGAAGTTATTTTTTAACAAGCCTCTAGCGCCCCTGTTGGCTATTTGCCATTAACCACTTGATTGTGCGATGACCCTGTTTCAAAAGCTTGGCAATTTCCAAATTGCTGTACCCCTCTGAAGGACAACTGACAATTTTTGGCTTTTCAAAGCCTGTCAAATTTCTTTTCTGACCCATTTTGGCAAAGGAAACAAAGTTGCTTTATAATTAAGCACACCTTAAATAGGGTATTGACCTTGGATTGGCAACCTGTTCAGGGTAGACCCCGCCTCTCGCCTGTAGACAGGTGGGATAAAGCATGTCAGAAAATGGATGGATGATATATAGAGTATCTTGTTTAGAGATTGAGTTGAGTAATTGAGTGAGTGACTGATAGAGTTATGTGTGTTGTGTTGAAGTGCAATTGTGTGACTTGACTTTGTATGTGTGAGAGAGAGAGTCAAGTGAGGAACGGACATGGAGAGAGAGCCAATGCCTAAAAGAGCTCTGTCAATTGCCTGAAAGCACTTTGACCAAAAAGAGGAGTAGATTAAAGTCAGAAAGTGGAAATGATTATTTTTTTTGAATAAAAATTTTTGAAGCAGAAAAAAAGTGAACAACCTTCACTATTTTACAAGCACTGTCACAGTTGCAGAAGCACACATTCCTCCCACATTCTTGTTAACATTCTGTCAAAGACTGCCTTAAGTATGATTTTATAAGGTATAATTACACAACGTTCAGCTAATTAAAAAAAAAGGCTTCACACAAGTTGTTATGCAATAGCAGGGATCTTAATTACATACAAATTTCACAAGTCATGAATAAAAAAATATAAATATATATTTCCTTTAATCATTAACAATACTGATTTTATGTAACAAAAGAGTTCAGTAACAAATTATTGCGAACACTTGGATACTGGTTCAAATGTAGTTCTCATAGCTATCCATTAGATGCCGCCATTCAAAAGTGTATCAAATGTTTTGAGCCTGGCCAGCTGTGTGAAATCGTTTCATGGGGCTTTAAAATTGCCATCACTTACTGTAAGGCAGTTAATTCACTGAAATGACATTAAAAACAATGAAAGGAGACTTTACCGGTTTGGAGATTGAGGTTCTGCTGACCGCTGACCTGAGCAGCAGAATTAAAGGACCAGTCAAGGTAAATCATGCGGAACACTGTGGCGAAATCCATACTCCTCCACTTGTGAGAGTAAACTCTGTTGCACTGTCTGAACATGGTTGCACTGTTACATAAGAGAAAATAAATAAATAAAAAATGAGGAAGAGAAAAATAATTTGATCCAAATATGGTGTCAACATGTTTAGCAAAAGCAAGACAAGTCCTTGAAAACTACTGTTGAAGGCAAAATGTGCAACATATGCAAATGCTAATTATGAGTTCACATCAACCAACAGCATTCTGCAAATTCTCCTTTTAATACACACACGTGTACTGTACGTACATCTTAAGACCACGTCTGTCATTCCTTCCTTGCGCTCACCAATTCCTCATAAAATGCAATGATAAAAATGTTATTGGTGAAATTATTTTTGACAAATTGTTAAATTTATAAACTATTTGTTAAATTGTTAAATTTATAAACTATTTCAGACTGACAATAATCCAAACATTTTACATTTTGTGTAGTAACTAAACCAAGGCAGCACTATGAAATTGGTTTTCTGTTTCAGATGCTATTTCAATAGTAGCTTGAGCTCACTTAGAGCTCACTGACTGTTCTTTGTTTTGACAAAATGACAACAAATTAAACCAGTGTCTCCTGGGTACTAACATGCCAGCTGTAGAGTGTGACTGCGAATTCGGTCATCAGCAATAAAAGTAAAAGCAATACAAATGAAGCATATGCGGAAATTCATCTGAAGCAACTAAATTACTTGCCTGATCATCAGATGCTCATCTGCCTCTGACGCAAACCAATTAGCTTTGGACCACTCCTCTACGAAGCCCAATCAGCATCCAAAGTTAATCTTAAAAGGTCTCCGGCTCCACGACTCGGCCTGCTGCCCAGCCAGGCACAGGCGGTGGCTGCACTGTATTTGATTTTGACTCAGATGACCTCGATTAAACCCACCTTCATCCTCTTCTCCATCATCGTAGTTAAGCTTCACCTACTTTTTCATGGTGCTTTTTCAACCTTGTCCCTATCAGAGTGTAATTCCTCCCGGACTCTTACTGCATTCCCCAACACATCTTAACCGGTATAGCAAAAGACCGCCATGTTGAGCCTGGTTCTGCCAGAGGTTTCTTCCCAAAGGGGAGTTATTCCTCTCAACTGTCACTTCATGCTTGCTTATCATGGATAGCCTTATGCAAATCTGTGTTTATCCAAGCTGAACATGTACCTTCAGGGTCCCAAGTGAAGCACTGATATAAGCTTACACAGTCTACTGGATCTCTCCAATACAGCTCAGGCAGAACTTCTTACCAACCAGCAGTCTACTGACTGAACCAATTTCTTCTATCACCACTTCATCATCAGTCTCAGGCCTGAGGGGAAACATCCCTGGTCTCATACACCTGCTTATGCATATTAAAGTAAAATTCTTCGCCCATGTTTCCTACTGAGGTCAGTGCGCCAAAGACATAAAATAATTGTATATATAAAATTATTGCAATTGTCTTTTTCCTTACGTGTGAGTTTTTCAGATTGAAATGTAGTTTATAATTAAAGAGTTTAAGAAAAAATATTTATATAGCCTAATAAATTTGAAAATTGTTTTTAAGTAACAAAAATGTTGTAATTTATTTGAAAACTAGGTTTGGATGAGAACTGACTAGTTGCACAAGAATCCTACATCAAGTCCAAAGCACTCATAAAATGTTTTTCGTACTGGAGAGAAGACTACAAATTTGAAAAAATCTTAATGCACATTTTCTCCAAATTCACTCATATGAACAATTTAAGAATGAAGTTCATGCAAATGTTTCTTGCATAAGACCCATTGTCTTTTTTTCCTAGAGCATATTGTTGAACTTAACATGAAACAGGTTCGGACTTCCACAGTCCTGTTGTAAGATGAACATTGTTCTGAACTGGATATTTGTAAGGTATGATGGCTCTCCAAAGATGTTTAGAAATATTACAAATATATGCCTGATTGAGTCACAGTGCCTCAGGTTTACTCACTCGTTCTCTTGAGTGGCAGCCATAATGAATGGAAAAGTCAGGTACCATCGTGTCGCATTGACCTTCTGACTAGTATCTCAACTTTTAGGGGCCTAGAATTTGACATTTAAGAGTCAGACAGGAAATCTTCCAACGGCAAATAGAATACACCATTAACCAAAACCACCATGCTATCAAGCTCATTCAGTCTACCAGTGTCTGCTCATAACACAATTGCTTCTCACCTTTCCCCATACTATAGATGTTCTGTGTTTCATACTGGATGATCCTGTTTCAGGTCATGCCTCTGATTTCTCATCGGCTTTTCTTACTGTTGTTAAAACTATTTGTCCTTTATTAAAACTGCTCTTTTTACCATGCTTGTTTTTCTCTGTGTCTTAACCTTATATATAGGTCACTTTTCACACTACATGTTGAGGATCTATGCAGACTCTTCAATGGCTCCTACACTGCTTAAGTTTTATTCTAACTGTATGTGATTTAATCTATGACTTTATACTTTGTGTTTATTTTCTCTTTTGTAAATGTTTTTTTTGCCTGGGAGCTTTAACAACTTCTTTATGCTAACAACAGTGTGAAATGACATATAGTATAACTTTATTTTGCTCAAATCATTAACTCATCTTATCTTTTCACCTTCTCAACTCAGTGGAGGTTGTATAACAGGTAGAAGTAAGCAGTGTTTTTATTACAGTGTGGATACATTCGTTTTAGAGCTTCAGCAGGAGATGATGCTGCAACGAACTGACATTTGAGGTTGGTGAAACTACTTGTAGGTAAAAATTGTTGTGTTATTCATTATTTACTTTTACAACTTGAGTTGTTGTGCAATTACCTCCAGTGGATAAATTTATTGAGTCACCTCTAAGAGATTTAGTGAGATCCATCTACAATATTTAGGCTTAAATGAAAATAGCTCCAGTTTTACCTTCCAGACATGATTACTTTGCAGCTATTTATCATTTGAACCTTTCAAGGCAAGGCAAATTTATTTATATAGCACAATTCAGTACAAAGACAATGCAAAGTGCTTTACATGATCAAAATATAGGAAAATAAAACAGAATCAAAGAAGGGAAAAAAAAACTTAGTCTTCCTATATGCCTTGTTTCCAGTTAAAATGCTGTTTTAAAAATAATATTCATATTTAGTGTAACAAAACAGCCTGAAACAGAAAAAAAACTCAATTTTATTTGCAATACGATTAAAAGAAACAAAAAACAAAACAATTGACTTTAGTTAGTTGTTTTGACCTTTACGCTTGTCTTGTAAATCAAAACTTTATTCATAAATCATCATTTGTTAATTTGAATAGTTTTGCAGAGAAAAAAAGCTTCCTTCAGTTCTTTCTAGGAACGAAACTGTTCTAATCCAATTTATACATGTATTTTAATACACAAACCTAATATCTATAATTTGGCATGACTGATTCTGTTGTAACATTTTTAGCAAAGCAAAATAAAAAAAGAGGCAAGGATTAACAAAGTTGTTACAGATGAACAACAGTCTGTGCGTATAAAAATCTTTAGAGACAAATTGGTTTTGTGTTATTTTCTCATTTTGTATTTTTGCTTTTAATGTATGGTATTTATATGTTTTTTTTTATATGCATTGGATTGGGGGAACTATAAAATGAATAACCTTCCAGCTATCAAGCTCATTCAGTCTACCAGTGTCTGCTCATCACACAATTGCTTCTCACCTTTCCCCATACTATTGATGTTTTGTGTTTCATACTGGATGTTTTTGGTCATGCCTCTGATTTCTCAGTTTTTCAGTGTGTCAGAAACAGCTTTTCTTACTGTTGTTAAAACTATTTGTCCTTTATTAAAACTGCTCTTTTTACCATGCTTGTTTTTCTCTGTGTCTTAACCTTATATATAGGTCACTTTTCACACTACATGTTGAGGATCTATGCAGACTCTTCAATGGCTCCTACACTGCTTAAGTTTTATTCTAACTGTATGTGATTTAATCTATGACTTTATACTTTGTGTTTATTTTCTCTTTTGTATATGTTTTATCTGCCTGGGAGCTTTAACAACTTCTTTATGCTAACAACAGTGTGCAATGACATATAATATAATATAACTATTTTGCTAAATCATTAACTCATCTTATCTTCTCACTTTCTCAACTCAGTGGAGGTTGTCTAACAGGTAGAAGTAAGCAGTGTTTTTATTACAGTGTGGATACATTCGTTTTAGAGCTTCAGCAGGAGATGATGCTGCAACGAACTGACATTTGAGGTTGGTGAAACTACTTGTAGGTAAAAATCGTTGTGTTTTTCATTAGGTATTAGGTATCCAGAAAATCACAACGGTAAAATGTTCTTGGCTTTCTTGTTTTCTTTATCTCTGTTATGATACATAACCATGCTCATGATATATTGAAAACTGTATTATTTGTGCCACAAAAACTAAATCCATATTAAGAATTGATGAGGAAATCTGATGCTAGCAAAAATTGTATAACCTTTTAACTGAGAATAACTTTAAATATTTGGCTTGTGGCTCGTTCTTTCAATCTGTTGTCTCTAAACCTGACCTCAACTGAATATGTTAATCTTTGGGATCTAGGGTCCAATGTTGAGATGGATTGAATATTAACAATTTAATCGCAAGGACAGCTATATCAATGAAATGATAGCAAAAGTACTCATGTGATTAAACTTTTACAACTTGAGTTGTTGTGCAATTACCTCCAGTGGATAAATTTATTGTGTCACTTCTAAGAGATTTACTGAGATCCATCTACAATATTTAGGCTTAAATGAAAATAGTTCCAGTTTTACTATCCAGACATGATTACTTTGCAGCTATTTATCATTTGAGCCTTTCAAGGCAAGGGAAATTTATTTATATAGCACAATTCAGTACAAAGACAATGCAAAGTGCTTTACATGATCAAAATATAGGAAAATAAAACAGAATCAAAGTAGGAAAAAAAAATAACTTAGAGTCTTCCTATATGCCTTGTTTCCAGTTAAAATGCTGTTTTAAAAATAATATTCATATTTAGTGTAACAAAACAGCCTGAAACAGAAAAAAACTAAATTTTATTTGCAATACGATTAAAAGAAACAAAAAACAAAACAATTGACTTTAGTTAGTTGTTTTGACCTTTACGCCTGTCTTGTAAATTAAAACTTTATTCATAAATCATCATTTGTTCATTTGAATAGTTTTGCAGAGAAAAAAAAAGCTTCCTTCAGTTCTTTCTTGGAACGAAACTGTTCTATTCCAATTTATACATGTATTTTAATACACAAACCTAATATCTATAATTTGGCATGACTGATTCTGTTGTAACATTTTTAGCAAAGCAAAATAAAAAAAGAGGCAAGGATTAATAAAGTTGTTACAGATGAACAACAGTCTGTGCAAATAAAAATCTTTAGAGACAAATTGGTTTTGTGTTATTTTCTCATTTTGTATTTTTGCTTTTAATGTATGGTATTTATATGTTTTTTTATATGCATTGGATTGGGGGAACTATAAAATGAATAAATAACCTTACATCATTTAGTTTGAAACCAAATTTTTCCAATGAGTGTTTCATAGGGTTATAAGATTTGTGATTTTAAAAGGTACAGTTTCATTTTTTGAATCCATGTTAAATCTGTATTTTAGATACATTTTTACACTACGAACAGCTGATCTGACAACATGGCAACAGGAACCCATGGTAAGTCTACTTACCGTAAGTTCACAGGATAGCCAGTAAATTTAGTTGAACTTTTCATAACATTTTATCCAAAAATGCTTAAATATTAAAATAGTGTCAAATCACATTTTTTTTTTTAAATTCCTCATAAGATATTTATTTACAGGAATTCAAACTCCATTAGAAAACACAATACACAGGACATTAATTGGAATCACAACATTAGAATGATTTAAACTTTTTTCTGTGTACATACTATATACAAACATTTTGAAGATCAGGGCCTCTATGTGAAAACATAGAGAAAAACTGAAGGTGTAAATGTTTTCATTTTATCTCTGAAACTATACCCAAATCATTAGATGAGGCTCTATTAGCTTTTTCTTATATGCATATTGAAGTATTGTATTAGAAAAGCTCGATGAAAACAGTAATTGGTAAAAGTTACTTATATAGTGCTTTTCAAATCAGGAGACTTCACCAAAGCGCTTTACACTATATTTAATCATTTACGCACACATTCTGATGGTTGCAAACTATTGTTGCCACAGCTGCCCTGGGGCTAACTAAACAGAAACAAGGCTGCCATACACTGGTGCCACGGGAACCTCTGACAACCATCAGTAGGAAATGCAGGTGAAGGGAACAAGACATTGTAACCCAAAGCCGGACTCGAAACTTCGACCCTTCGTGGGAAAACGAAGGGTCGAAAATCCCCTTAGATTTGCATCAAAACTTTATATATATATATATATATATATATATATATATATATATATATATATATATATATATATATATATATATATATATATACTTATGACATGACACATTGGCTGAAAGAACTAAATGTAAATAAAGCAGCCATACCACATGTAGAATTTGCTGTTACTCTCTTCTGTTTTATACTGTTACTCTGAAAACTGCATTCTGAACAAGCTACAAATAGAAAAGCAATTTTTATCTCATTTTTATCACTTCTTCTTCCAGGCTGGCTCTGTTTCTTCTTCTTTTATATATTATATAGTATATTCTTCTTCTTTATATATATTAATCTCACTCCCAGGGAGAGCAGTATTTAGCCAATTGTAGCCATGGTTCTGAGGGTTCCCTCACCGGTCACATTTGGAAAAATCACGATTGGCTGGAATTTCCAGCCAGTGGTACATATGTTTCCGAATCCGACACAAATAAAAATAAAATGCACTCTAGGAGCTGAGTTTAGAGGTATGATGTAAATTAACTTGAGTCTTAGAAATATAATGATATTAGTCAGAGTGAATGTCGAACAGCAAATTTGGAAAGGTCAATTAAACTCCTACAGAGTTCAAATCAACACTTAGCATCTATATAGGTCCAGACTAGATAGATTTAAAACACCAACACTTTTTAAAGTATTAAATAGCTAATAATGCAAAAGTTAAAGCAACACTTTTACAGAACTAATTTAAATTCAACAATTATAAGGTTTGAATTTATTAAACACTAGTGTAAAGTATCTAATGCCTCTCAGGATCAATGGAAAGATATAGCAGAGTATCATCAGCATAATGATGGTGATTAATCCTATAATGTCAGATTATTTGTAGCCATATCGGCCTTGGGATACACTGACAGAAGCAAGGCTTCTGTAAACGAAAGCTGCTGGTCCCTCTGAAAACAATTAACACTTCACAAATGTCAGTCAGGTGTCTAGCCTAATGGCACAACAATTGAGCTTGTATTTGAGCCAGCACCTGTCCAGTTGTACGACACCGTGATGTGTTTTAATAAATACGATTTAAAAGATATGTTGACAAGTTGACATTCTGGGAGAAACTCTATAATTTAACACCAACTCTTTGAGGACACTAACTCTCATATAGTTGAATAAGACTAAACTAGTGTTGAATTAACCGAACTTTAAACAATCTACACCAACATTGACAATTTAAGACATTTGATTTTGTTTGGAAAGGTTAGGCATGAGGGAAGCAGCTAAAATGAATGAAAGCCAATGTAAAGTCCTTATATTGTTACAAATGCAAAGTGGGGAGGGGTCTGTGGTGGTGGAGTTAGAATAGCTTGCTGTGTTGCGGTGATGGACTGCCCACCTGTCCAGCATTTTACCCTGCATTTTAGAATGCATTTGTTCTACATTCTTGGCTGTTATATTGTAGCTTAAAAGTTCTTTAATAATTTATAGTGAAAATGTAATTTTGTTGTTTGCTATTACTTTTTTCCATTTTGCCACATAGCTGTTTTAATTAAATTCTTCACATTGAATTTGTTTACTAATATTCTATGCACAATTAATGCATTTAAAGACACTCAAGAAATCAATTTTTTATCATCTGTTAAACTGTCGATCTCCATAGTTATAATTTGAAATTAGTATTACCGGTATATTACATTTGCTCAGAATAATAAAGAATATTTTAAAAATCTGGGAAATAAGGTAAAAACGTATGTAAACAATAAATGTTGGTATAATCTTGAGTAAATTGTGGTCACACAACTATGTTTTTTGTAAATAGGAGCATACTGAGAAACATTGCCAGACCATCTATGTGCAAGGGCCTCTTAGTGGCTTGGAAACATTAACTAAGAAACAACTTTTGACACACCACACCTATTTGATGCTTGTACAACTGTACTGAGACAAACTATCTTATCATTTATAATCATGTTTGTTCACAGTTGTTTCTCATATGTAACCATAGAGTTAGATCAAACTCCAACTCCCCTGTGGTTAATAATTTAATTTGGTCACGCTCCTTTTTCCTTTCTTTTTAAAAATGTATAGATGTAGCACAATCCTTCCAATAAAGATGTGTATTGCTCTTGGTGCAGTGGCATCCAAGTTTAACTTGTTCCAGTGCTGTCAAATGTTTTTAAGTGACCATGTAATCCAACAAACATTTTATTTTCCAAAAATAAACTTAGCTTTTCTTATCGCAGTATGACATGAAAGGCAGATCATATCTGTTAATTTCTTTCTTTGCATTCCACTCAAAAAACAAAAACTAAATTATATTAAACTACAACTAAACTATATATAACTAATTATTTCATAATTAAGACAACGCATACTCAAACTCAAACCCAGATATTTCACGTTTATATTTTATAACAACTCAGACAAAAAATAGCAATAAAAACAATAAAATATTAGTATGTAAATCAAGCATTTTGCCCCAACATTTCAACTTCTTATTGGCATGTTTGTAGGTGCAAACTTTCTGCCCATTATGAAGTCTGTATATTCTTAAGGGCGATTTACATAGCATAAAGAATCAAACAAGTCCAAAAATCCTGCATGTGTGTGTGTAAGTTAATTGTGGATCTATGCAAGGGATGTGTATATGTTTACACTTCAGTCTTCACATGAAGCATCCAGGAGAAGAACAAGTTTTGGTATAGGTGAATGGAGGGTGCTGGTCTTGGTCCGAACTTGCAATTGTCTTACAAATCCCTTGGCAACGATCAGGTTTGATATCCCCTTTAGCAAAGTTTTGTGTTTTCATGGTAAATTTGTTTCTTTGTTGTAGTTCAGGCAAATATTCCTTTATCAACCTCTTCCAAAATAATTCTGCCATTCACTAAACTTGACGCCATCTCCTCCTGCTGTAAGAATCTGAGCTAAACATTCCATGTGGTATGGAAGTTTTTTTTGTTTTTTTTGAGAAGCAGGAGACGGTTTGGTGTCAAGGGTTCCGAATCCATGGGGTCATTTGATGATTTTGTGATTGGCCTGTCATTGATGAGAGCCTCCAACATCAGATTAGATTCAACTTTATTGTCATTACACAGGTACAGGTACAAGGCAACAAAATGCAGTTTAGGTCTAACCAGAAGTGCAATAGCAGCAAGTGCAGGATAAACAATGGTTCCATAAATACAGGACATGGGTTTCTACTGAATGAGTATAGAGATGAATACTATTATAAATAATGAATATAATATATAGATCACTAGTGTTATGAACTAAATTTACAGCTGGATATGTACCGAGTATAATATACAGGTGGATATTATACAGATGGGTTTTACTATAAAATTAATAAAGTTTGGAAAGAAGCTATCTAAATTAAAGTACAGTGGAAGGTAATTGCATATTACAGTTAAAGTACGTTATTGCAAATGTATAGGTAAACAATTGGTACTGTGAATAAACAGTCTGCAGTGCCAATATAAGCAGTTGGCAGTGTAGAGTAAGGTGACAAATCGTTTGTCGTCCATCCTGCAGGTGGAGTGAACAGTCAGGAGATGCCTTTTTTCAGTGCAGTAGTTTGAATCTGAGAAGTTTCCATTGTGGTTTTACAGCCTCGCAGAGTTCACACTCTGCTATTACAAGATTGTTCCCTTTATCTGACCTAATGATTTTTTAAGAGAGACCTCATTGTATTAATACAGGAATCAGTATTGAGAATATGTGCAATCTCTGAGTGAATGGCCCTGATAGTAAGCAAGTAGAATCAACTCTATATCGCTTGCCAGTAGACCTTCCATGCTTTATGTTGAATGGGCCAGAGAAGTCTACATCCAAGTTGGTAAAAGGTGGTTCATCTGGACTGACCCTTGACCCTTTTGGTAAGTCAGATCTGCTCACCTTTCCTTACATTCACCCTCTTGCAGGGGTGCGTTTTGGTAATCATCTTTCAAACTGCTGAAGTAGCTCCTGCACTGCAAAAACGATCTAGAAATAAGTAAAAATTTCCTTAATTAAGTGTATTCACCCTTAATTTGAGTAGGTAAATGAGAAAGTTTGCCAATGGAATGAGTAATTTTACTCTTAAAATAAGATAATTAGATAATATGCACTTGAAATAAGACAATGCAATAGTGTTTTCTTATTTTAAGTGTAAATTGTCTTGTTCCATTGGCAGAATGTCTCTTTTACCTCCTTAATTCAAGAACAAATGCACTTATTTTAAGAAAAAAATTACTTATCTAGATTTAGATTTTTTGCAGTGTGGTATCCAAAATCTTTGTCGCAAATGTGACAGAGTGTGATTTCTTCCACTTTGTGACTTTTTCCA